TTTTTATGGCATAGATGTTTACTTGTTAAGTATGATTGTATGGAATCATCTAAATTGAACTAAAATTCCTTACTTGGCAATAATCTAAATTAGCTAAATAGGATTTGGTTAGAAAAATTCAAAATTTGCTAACTTGGAAGATATCTAAATTCACTAAATACTATAATTGCAGACCTAAAATGTCACTTAATTTCCTTACTTGAAAGATATCTAAGTTCACTAAAATTCACTAAATTCGCTTACTTGGAATAGATCTAAATTCACTAAAATTCACTAAATTCGCTTACTTGGAATAGATCTAAATTCACTAAAATACTACCATTGCATATCTAAAATAAATTAAACTTAAATTAAACTTACTTGAAACCATATGGGGGATTTGCTACAAATCGTAGCTCATCGTCTGGCAACCAGAATTCCCGAGGGTCTCGAGGTGCTAAAAACGGAAGATGCTCCCATGCCCAGAGTTGGAGTATGAACATCGCACCACCAGCTTGTTTCGCTCCCAACCTCGAGCAAGTACACAACTCTCGGTAGATCCCAGCCAAGACGGCCGACCCCAACTTTTTCTCCCGATCTCGTCCCAGTCACCGAGGAGCATATTTAACCACATGCCTTGTATCCACCGGTTTGACTTGTCGGGGAACAGAAACCCACCAACCAAACCAATTAGGTAGACACGTGCATACCGCTCCACCTGATCTTCAGGAGTGTCGGGGCCTATGTTAACCTCCATTTGGATGTGGTCAACAAGCCACGGGACCGATACTTGCCCCGCATTCAGTGGTGGATGCCCATGCTCGTCGACGGGCGTGGTGGTCGGCATGTTGAACCCCAAACGCTCTAGAATCAACGGCCCCCAACCATCATCCGATTTTTTCGAGCTGTCGATGATGGCATCTCCGGTGATCGGGAGCCCGGTGAGGATGGCAACATCTTTGAGGGTGATCGTCATTTCACCCTCGGGAAAGTGGAAGGTATGCAGCTCGGGGCGCCATCGCTCTGCCATTGCCGTCAGCAGATCGTTGTCAATATCAAGCCTTGTAAAGTGCCTCAGCATGTGCAATCCCGTCCTCTCTATATAGGGCTGTAGTCGATCATGCCAACGGGGCAATCGACATGTCCCTCGATGAGCGATGGGAATAAGTGATTCCTACAAAACAAATAACACAATATTATCAGTCAATAGAAAGCAAAATAAAAACTTTAAAACTATTGAAATAAATTTAGTGTGTCTACCGGATTATTGTTCCAAATTGAACGGGAGCGATGTTGATCTTGCCCGGTTAAATACCTTCGATCCCTTGGGCCAGGATCGATATACAATTGAGGGTCGTATATCTCAGCACCCATCTATAAAAAAATATAAAATCAAATCAATTTAAATTTTAGCACCCATATAAAAAAATCACAAAAGAATATAATTAATTTACGTACTCTCAAAGCCTCTTCGTCCATTTTTTGCCGAAAAGCTAGCGAGAGTATCGACAAAACAAAAACTAACTCTAGTAATTCTTTCTGATGCGGAAGATCGGACTTAGCCGCAACCACAGAGCATACTTAGAACGAAACTAGAGGAAAGTAAAGGAGGGAGAAAGAAGTATAAGATTTTGTTGTGGTTTGGAATGAGGGGGGGGGGGAGTGGTATTTATAGGGGAAAGGGGGGAAAGAGCCGCTGGAAAAAATTACCAGGGACCAATCACCGCCTCTGATGAAGGCAGTGAAATCACTGCGTCCAACGTGGAGAAAAACCACAATCCGCGCCTCACTGCATCCAACGGCAGCGGTGAAGGCGCGGGTGGTGCGGATCGCTGACGTGGAAAGCGGGGCTATCACCGCTTTGGTCTTCAGCGGTGAAGTCCCCGCGCGCGTCCATGTCAGCGATCCGCGCCACTTCACCGCTTTTGGATTCAACGGTGAAGATGTTCACCGCGTCGCATCTCAACGGTGAGTTAATCACCGTCATTAACAACAGCGATGATAGCATCACTGTTGTTGTCCAAAGCGATGATGCTATCACCGTTTTTGACCAAAACGGTGATTTCCATCACTGTCTTGGTTTGCAGCGGTGATAACCAAACTGCTGTATTTTGGGAAATATTTTTATAAGTATTGTATTTTGGAATTTTTTTTTAATAATAAGTGTATTATGGGATTTTTTCCGGCATGCTAGAAGAACAATTGGAGGGGGACAGGCAACAAAGAAGCAGAAGTAGAAAAGGTTGATTTACCATCATTTCGAATCACGATTATGGTTGCATGAACGAGATTATTCACACGGATCAACGAAAAAGAAAATCAGGATTAAATTATGATTATTCCCAAGTGAAAATTGAAGCGATTAGTTGTTAATCATAGATTCGAGCATCTTTGTGTTGATTAATTGAGAGAAAAAGGTTAGTTTTATATAGAGACAACAAGAATGAGGGTGGAATCAGCTTTGAACCTGAAGAAGGAGATGTTGGAAGATTTGGTAATAGGTGGAGGGCTGATTGTGGTGCAATTTGTGTATGCTGGAAATTCAGTTCTGTTGAGCTATCTGATGTCTGTACTTGTAGTATTGGACCGAGACCGACGTGATGTTGCTAAGCTGACTCCAGGCCCACGTCGTGCCCATGCAGAGACAAGGCCCATGGCCGACTCCTCTAGCTCATATCTTCACATTGTAACCCTAGATAATTTCGATGTAACAGGATATAAGAATATGGCTTGTACTATCAAGCCGACCATCAATAAAACGTAGAAGCAAGTTCCCCGTGGATGTAAGCCTCACACAACGTGAGGAAGAACCACGTAAACCGAGTCTCGATTTATCTTTCTTTCACATTTTCATGGTATCAGAGCGTTAAGCTCCGGACCTTGATTTCGCTAAAATCATGAGTGATGACGATGATGGTTCCGTCATGTCCAAAATGCAGGGCAAGAACGATGATGCCTTGCCTGAAGTACTCCAGCTCCATCGATCCGATGGCCCTGGAAATATGCTGGTCGGGGATATTCTGACTGCCTCCAATTATGGTGAGTGGGCTCTCGATATGAAAGATGCTCTTCTTGCGAAAAACAAATTCGGGTTCGTGGATGGTACCATACCCAAACCAACAAACTCAGCGGAACGTGATGCTTGGATTCGATGCGATGCCATGGTCAAAGGCGGGCTCAAAACATCGATGAACAAGGAAATACAAAGTAGTGTTCGTTTTGCCGAGACAGCTCGCAAAATATGGGCTGATTTGCTCGAGCGGTTAGGTCAAGGCAGTTCCGCGCGTGCCTATGAGCTACGGCGGCTGATTTCTCTTCTTCAGCAGGAGAAGGGATCGGTTTCAACATTTTATACAAGGCTGAAGAGTTTTTGGGAGGAGGCTTCCGCAATATTTCCTCCGCCGAGCTGCACTTGTGGGCTGTGCAAGTGCGGTGTCTCGAAGTGAGTTCGCGAGCAACAAGAAAGTGCTCGGGTTTTTTATTTCCTCATGGGGCTTGACGATGCCTTCAGCGGTGTCCGTACCCAGGTTCTCGCCATGAAACCTATCCCTACTCTTGGTGAAGCATTTAACATTATTGTCAATGCAGAAAAACAGAAGCTTATTACTCAAGGTCGGCGCTCTTCCCCTGAGGCCGCTGCTTTCGTCGCCCACGGCGACCGAGAGAAGACCCAAAATTCCAAGGATCGTGAACGCAGTGGTGATGAACAGGAACGTCGTCGCTGCACCCATTGCCAAAAGACAGGACATCTCTGTGAATCGTGATGGGAATTGCATGGCTACCCCCTCGCGACCGTGACCGGGATCGTGAGCGTCCACCTCATGAGCACCGTGACCGACAAGGGGATCGTCCACCTCGTGAGCTTCGTGGGAGTTCCTCCAGTCGCGATCGAGCTGGTCGAGGACCAAAGGCATCCCAAGTTGATGCCGAACAAAGTCCAGTAGCTGGCTTTTCCTTGGCTCAATTGCAGCAACTAAAGCAATTCTTCCAAGCCTCTGATTCCTCTGTTGAAGACCCAACAGCTCACATGGCATGTACATTCTCTGATAGTTCTGCATGGCTTATTGATTCAGGATGTAACGAACATATAACCATGCATGAACATTTTCTCTCGGATAAGGGTGTTCCACCCAATGCACAACCTGTTCGTATTCCAAACGGTGCTGGCATACCCGTTAAACTTATTGGTTCAGTCGATTTGCAGCCAGGATTCACTCTTCGCCATGTGCTTCATGTTTTCGATTTTCGTTGTAATTTGGTATCCGTCAGCAAGTTAACACGAGATAATCATGTAGCGTTAATCTTCCTTGATGGTTTTTGCGTACTTCAGGACTTACACTCCAAGAAGTTGATTGGGAAGGGTGAGCTAAAGGATGGACTCTATTACCTGCGATTGTTTGGTAGTGGCACAACGCAGGCGTGTGCGGTAAAACAGAAGAGTACTGGATCTGAAGATGTGTGGCATGCCCGTCTGGGGCATCCCTCACCTGATAAACTTGTTTACATTGGTCGTTTGTTATCTTCTTCTTTTGATCATAGTCGGCATTCTCCCTGCCATTCATGTTTGCGAGCTAAACAATGTCGCACTCGCTTTCCATCTAGCACTATTAAAACGACCAGGAGTTTTGAGTTGATTCACGTTGATCTCTGGGGTGGATATCACATTGCTTCTTTTAGTGGTGCCCACTATTTTTAACTATTGTCGATGATTATACGCGTGGCGTTTGGGTTTACCTACTTCGTTATAAATCACAGGCTGGTCAACATTTGTTACAGTTTTGTCGCATGGTTCAGTCTCAGTTTGGGACCCAGGTCCAACGCATCCAGGCTGATAATGGTGCTGAATTTAACACAGAACCTTTGCGAGATTATTATGCAGAGACAGGTATCTTGTTGCAAACTTCCTGTACCGACACACCACAGCAGAATGGGGTTGTCGAAAGGAAGCATCGACACATTTTAGAGACAGCTCGATCGTTACAATTTCAAGCAAATTTACCTCTTCGGTTTTGGGGAGAGTGCGTCCTTACTGCGGTTTATCTCATCAACCGTTTACCTACTACGGCAACAGGTAAATCCCCTTTTAAGTCTCTATTTGGGAAGGTTGCCGAGTACCAGCATCTCCGCATCTTTGGATGCTTGGTATATGACTCTAAAATCAAATAACAAAACTGACTCAACCGAGGAGAAATAGAGAAAGAAATGCAAACCGACTGGTTGGGTTGCCTCCCAAAAAGCGCTTCTTTCACGTCGTGAGCCGGACGATGGCTCCTAAGTTTCGGTCCATGCTAGAACCTCCTTGAAGTTGAGGTTCTCGTCGATGAGGTGGAGTCTCAAGTCACGAGCATGTGGTGTGGCAGGTGATAAAGGCTCATGTACTTGATGCAGATGAAGTCTCCACCCTCGAGACCTCTTCTTCTCTTCTCTCGTCTCCTTGCCCCAAACCAGATATGACAGCATCGACCGACCACCATCGCGTCTACCAAGAGGGACCGATGTCGATGTGGCCTTGGTTTGGCAAAGAGACACTGCAAATGGGTCCTTGCGAAGCAGTTCCTCAAAGTTTGGTGGGGATATTACTTGCAACTCATGGCCGGTGCATGCCTCTTCCACCTCAACTTCATCCTCAGCCTGGACGCCAATTGCTTCCTCAACCCCCCTTCCTTCTTCAAAATGTGGTCTCTCCCCTGGGAAAAGATCAAGAACCACCTCTTCTTTTCTTTCTTCCTCATCATCCACAACTTCCTTCCTCATCCTTGCTCGCTCTTCTTCTTCTAGAACAGATTGGAGATCAAGTCGCCAATCAATTTCTTCAATGGGATCATCTTGCATCTCCTCGCACGGGCCCAGCATGTTAGAGCATAAATGAGGAAAGGTGTGGTCTGCAACCAAAGGACTTTCCTGATCATGGTTATTATGGGAGTTCTCTGTGATAACTTCTGTATGCTCCTCAACGCTCCCATAGCCTTTGTCATCCTCCACCTCTTCTAGCGTGGTAGCAGAAAGGTGATCTTGAGCAAGATGTGAGCAAACTTGCTTCACCCACTCTGTTTGCTTCGCTGAGCGCTGAACAGTCTCCTCCATATCATGGAGAAATGAAGGATCGGAAGTGGCAAGGGCTTTGATTTGAAGATCCATCTTGGAGCATGATTTCTCAGTGTCTCGAGCAAACTGCTCCACGAGAAGCCTTAATTGTTCGTTCGGATCCTCCAGTGAAGTGTAGCATGGCTCTGCAGAGTGGCCCGTGAAGGCCGCCATGGGTAACTCCAGCTCCGATGGCCCTTCTGGTTGTGGGAGAAAGTCTTCTTGGTAATGAGCTTGTTCTTGATATGCCCAGGGGTCTGATTGTTCTCCGTAGTAAGGGGGTTGGTACTGGAACCCGAATCCATAGTCTTCTCCTCCTTGATTGCTCCAGGGAGTCTCGGGGTAACACCACTCGGATGGTGGTGGATACCCCCAATGGTTGGAGAAGCCATGAGGATCCATGATTCAGATCTGCACCAACAAAAACAAAAAACACCCAAGTGAAAAGCAAGGGTGGAAAAGAAAAGAAAAATGCTAAAGTAACAAACTTCTGCCTTTCCTAATAATCTAGAAAGTCCCCGGCAACGGCGCCAAAAACTTGATGCTCTAAAACACAACACCTAACAATGGCCAAGTGTAACCAATGAAAGGGACTGCAGTATAGTGGCACAAGTAATAAATATCGAATCCACGGGTCTCTAGAGTTACTATTACTCAGCTTCAGTTCATTATCTAGCAAACTAGATTAAGGATTGATTAACTAAACTACTCTACTAACTAAACTAAGTAAAACTACTAATTACAGTTTGGGAACTCGCTTAGGTATGATTCCCCCCAGCTCCTCAATTAGGTCCAAGTTGTAATTCCTTTTGGTTGTTTTACTGTTGATTAAACTGCGGAAGATCCGACAGTAGCTTGGAATCTCTTAAGCTGACCAAGCCCTCTGAGTCTAACTATCCGGCAGACGACTAGTCTTCACCGGGATAGACAGCTGAAGCAATAAGCACAGAACTCCACTACTGGAATTGGATTCCAGTACAAAGCAGTAAACTGGCTAACTCTCGTATAGCCAATCTCCTACTACCGAATGATGAGGCTCTAACAACCTAATCAGATTCTATCTATCTCAGGTTGCAGCAGAAATCAGGAAAAGTTGATCAGACTTCAATTGACTCAATAAACATGCATCATTCGATTATAATCAAACAATATAGCATTCAAAACTTCATACAAGAAAGATCCTAACTCATGGAACTAGGGTTCCTCAAAACCTAAGTGAAGGGAAGTTACTCCATAGAGAAGAGAGAGACTGCAGAAATCTGATCTAGATCTTCAATCTCCATCTCCAAGCTTGATTCCCGAGCTCCAATGGCGAAGAAATCCTCCAAAATAGCTCCAAGAATGTTCCCAAGTCGCTCTCTCTCTCTCTAGGGTTCGTCCCTTGGGTGTTTGGGATCCAAAACCCAGCTCTCTCCCTTTCCTTTTGCTGAAAATCGGGTTTTAAACAGCAATTCCCGACTCACACGGCCAGGCCACACGGCCGTGTGGCTTTCCCCTCTGCCCGTGTTAAGGCTCGGTGATTTCCACACGGCCACATGGCCAGGTCACACGGCCGTGTGGGTTGTGCCCGTGTGGCTTGCTCAACCTCTGTTTAATGCTTCGTTTCTCCCTCGTCCGGACTCCGAATCAGTCGCCGTTTGATCTCAGACGCTCGTAGTATCGTCCTCTTTCTATTCATGACAAGCTTGCATGATTCTTTGTCCATAAAGTGAGGTAGAAATCCATTCTTCTTCAGGTCATACCCGAGTTTCTTCTCCCGAATCGTCAATTGATCTCTGATTGACTTGAAACTTGCGCCTATGCTTCACTTTATGTGCTAGGACCTGAAATGTGACAAAGGAACACAACCTAGCGTAAAATAGGCCAAAGACACGATAATTCAAGCTCAAACAATCAAGAAACAAAGGGGAAAACATGTGCAAATACCGAGTCATCAGTATACTATAAAGATACCCATGGGCACCTCGACAAGTTTGCAGCACGGGGGAGGGCTGGTGTTTTTCTTGGCTATGCCACTTCCCAGAAAGGGTACCGCATCTACGATCTGGTTACTTGGCGAATGATCACGTCACGTGACGTTCGATTTCATGAGGAGCAATTTCCATTTCAAGAGGGTATGCAAAAGGAACTACACTGGGTTCATCGACCTTCCTTCCAACTTGACTAGGAGGCCCCGAATTTTGACTCTGTCGCATGATCACCCCTGCACACTTCCTCAGTGCCACTTGCTTCTTCTTTCGCAGCGCCATCTACCCCTTCCACAACGCCTTTATCGTCTCCTGTAGAACCGCAAACCGTCATTACATCACCTCAGCCTGCTACTCCACACTCAACAGGCCCTTCCTTGCCTTTTGTTCCTGCCCAGCGATCCTCGGCAGCTCTCTCGACTTTTGTTCCTGCCCCGCCATCCTCGGCGGTTCCCGATACCACGTCGACCTCAGTTGAGTCCACCATCTCACCACAGGCTTCCATTGCAGTTGAGCCACCTCAGTTGCGGCGCGATGAACGAGTTAGAGCTCGCCCAAAGCATCTTGCACCTTATCATACTCATTTTCCCGGTGATCAGGGAAGCACCCATAACCTTGTGCACTATCCTTTATCTAATTATGTCTCTTATGATGGTTTCACGCCTACGTACTCTGCTTTTCTTGCAGCCCTCACACGAGAAGATGAGCCCCGAATGTTTCTAGAGGCCATCAAGGATCCACGTTGGCTAGCGGCCATGGCGAAAGAAATTCAGGCTCTCGAGGCTAATGGCACGTGGAGTTTGGTTCATCTTCCACCCGGGAAGCGTGCTATCGAAGCAAAATGGGTTTACAGGATCAAATATTATCCGGATGGCAGCATCGAGCGATTTAAAGCACGCTTAGTTGCAAAAGGTTACACGCAGATCGAAGGGCTCGATTTTCACAACACCTTCGCCCCGGTTGCCAAGTTGGTAACTGTTCGTTGTCTCATCGCAGTTACAGTCAGTCATGGATGGCACCTTCATCAGTTGGACGTCAACAATGAGTTCTTGCATGGTGACCTTGATGAAGAAGTCTATATGGTTGTTCCTCAGGGATTTCAGCAGCCTGGTGATACCCGTGTTTTCCGTCTTCATAAATCACTTTACGGGCTCAAGCAAGCCTCTCGGAACTGGTACCAGAAATTCACTGCTGCCTTGGTTGAGTTTGGTTTTCGGTCTTCACCAGCGGATGCTGCTTTGTTTATCTATCAGCGGGGGAGCACTTTTGTTACCGCTCTCATCTATGTTGATGATGTACTCCTTGCCGGCAATGATCTTCCCTTCATCACCGAGGTCAAACGCTTCCTGGATGACCGTTTTAGTATCAAGGATCTTGGTCCCTTACGATATTTTTTGGGCATTGAGATAGCTCGTACTGCCACTGGCGTTGTGCTCAGCCAGCGCAAGTACGCTTTGGACATATTGGAAGATGCCGGGGTTCAGGGTTCACGTCCCAGTGCTTTTCTGATCGAGCAGAATCATCAGCTCACGCGCACCTCTGCCGCTGAGCCATTGCCTGACTCTTCGCAGTATCGGCGCCTCGTTGGTCGTCTTTTATATCTCACCATTACCAGGCCTGACATCACCTACGCCTTGAACATTCTCAGTCGCTTCGTCCACGCTCCTAGCCAGATACACCTGGATGCAGCTTTCCAGGTTCTCCGATATATCAAGTCGAGTCCTGGTCAAGGGATCTTCTTTCTGGTCAACAACCCGCTTTAGCTCTCTGCCTACTGTGATGCAGACTGGGGTGGCTGTCAAAGCACGAGACGTTCGACGACTGGCTACTTTATTACTCTTGGAGGTGCTCCCATCTCCTGGCGGGCTAAGCAACAGAAGGTGGTTGCTCGTTCTTCCACCGAAGTTGAATATCGCGCCATGGCTAGTACAGTAAGTTAACTAATATGGCTACGTTGGTTGCTGAGCGAGCTGGGTGTGCCACAGGATCGCGCTACTCCACTTCACTGTGATAACCAGGCAGCTCTTCATATCGCCAACAACCCTTTCTTCCATGAGCGTACTAAACACGTGGAGATGGACTGTCACTTTGTTCGAGAGCGTGTTCAGACTGGCCACATCATGCCCATCAAAGTCCGATCTGAACATCAGCTGTCGGACCTCTTTACCAAGGGCCTTGGTGTCGATCGGTTTCGTTTTCTTCTCTCCAAGCTGTACGTTCGTGATCTTCACGCTCCAGCTTGCGGAGGAGTATTGGACCGAGACCGACGTGATGTTGCTAAGCTGACTCCAGGCCCACATCGTGCCCATGCAGCCCATGCAGAGACAAGGCCCATGGCCGACTCCTCTAGCTCATATCTTCACGTTGTAACCCTAGATAATTTTGATGTAACAGGGTATAAGAATATGGCTTGTACTATCAAGCCGACCATCAATAAAATGTAGAAGCAAATTCCCCGTGGATGTAAGCCTCACACAACGTGAGGAAGAACCACGTAAACCGAGTCTCGATTTATCTTTCTTTCACATTTTACATGTAGGGCTTACCCCTCTATCTCACCATTCTCATCTTCTCCACCTTTGCCACATTCCTAGTCATCTCCCCTTTTGCTTTCTACTTTGAAAGGTCAGTTTTCTTTAACTCTCTCTCGCTCTAGCTTTTGTATGAAAATGGTGCAAATGGAACTACATTAGTATGTTTATGCAAATTGATGATATGACATTCATTTCTTATAGGAAGAAATGGCCCAAGAGATTCAGCTTCAAGCTTGTAACCCAGCTAGTTCTGATCTCATTTGGAGGGTAAGCCAAAAAAAAAAAAAAAAAAAAATAAAGAACAACCGAGGCAATATTATGAATTGAAGTTTCCCTATTGTTGTCGTTCTAAGTTGTGAACAACCGACGCAATATTATGAATCAGAGTTTACACATACTGACGACGTTAATTGTTAATCGAGAATTCTCATTCCAGAAACCAACTTGTTAAGGTGAAATTACATGATTTTTCTCGCAGAGTAACTTTGTTCCAATCTTTCTTCCTCAAGGGAATTATGCTCACTTCTCCGGCCTTGGCCACAGCCATGCCAAACCTTTCTCCAGGCTTGATTTTCATCATTGCTTGGACACTAAGCTAACTTTCAATATCTTATGCCAAAACCTATACATATATAAGACCTCACATTCTTGAGTCAAAAGAGCTAAAACTATACATGCATATTAATTGAAGGTTGGAAAGGGTTAGAATTGGGTGCATTTACAGCAAGGTAAAGATCATGGGAACATTGTTGTGCGTGCTTGGTGCATTAACGATGAGTTTCATGCACAGCAGCACGACTAGAGACAAAGAGCCTGCCGCCTTCATCTCTTCCCCAGCCGACATTTTCATCAGTAAGGACAAGTTGGTCGGCTGTTTGTATGTCATGGCTGCAGTTTGTGTGCTCTCCATCAATATCTTGTTGCAGGTACGTAAAAGCAAAATCTAATGACGTTTTTTTGTTCGATCTTTAGAGGGAAATTATCGCTTGATGGCAGGGCTTGTCATGAACAGATTTTGACTTGTAAAATGGAGATCACAAATGGGTTGGACTCGACCATAGTGGATCAGATCATATGATATCATATATTGGTTATGGATAGTAACGAGTCGAGTCATGATGGGTTGTAACTGGATCGGATTCGTGTCAAAGAAAGATGCTTATAATATGTCATAATGGGTAACGGGTTGGACCTGAACAAATCGGTCCATGATCCATTATGGGTCCGGACAAATCGACTCATAATTGATAACATATCACTTTTACCGATATGATATATGTATAGTTTACAAACCGGGTCAATACTTTGTATTTTAACTTTCAGGGAACAACATTGGGTGATTTTCCAGCACCAATGTCGTTATGTGGCATAACATCAGGGATTGGTGTGGTGATAACTGCAATCGTGCAGCTGCTTCAAGGCCAGACCTGGGATGTCTTCTTCCCTCTCGTGGATGTTAGGGACCTAGTTGGCTATTCCTTAGTGGTAAACATTACACCTCTTCTAAATTTAAATGTTCGATTTATCTCTCAAGTCAAATTATGAAGTCAATATTATAATTGGATAGTGAGGAAATCATGAGCATGCGATTTGAGTTTTAACCGACGACGTTAAGTTACGATGGGATGAAAACAAGGTGGTGTTGTGGGAGGAGCATGTGTGAGCTTCAACGGATGGGCCATGAAGAAGAGAGGCCCAGTTTTGGTTGCCATGTTCAGCCCAATTGACACAGTCATTTCAGTTGTTCTCTCAGTTGTCACGTTAGGAGAGACCATCAAACACTGGAAGGTGAGAATATTATATGACCACGGCATTAGTACCTTCAAAATATTTTAAAAATGTCATTTTTGTTCTAAACTATTAAATATGACAAATTTGGTACTAAGTATATGCGTTTCGTGACATTTGTGTTCTAAACTATTCAATATGACAAATCTGGCACAAACCATATAGATGTTGACTAGATTTTCTGTTAAATACTAACGATTTACGTCGGTAAACATTAACAAAAAAATAATTCGGACCAAATTTGTCATATTGAATAGTTTATAACACAAATGACACGTTTTGAATAGTTTGAGTTTGCTAGTGGAATTAGCCCTAATTATTATTATTATTATTATTATTATTATTATTATGTATAAGCTTTCTCAAAATTTTAATAAGACACTACAAGTTGAAATCTATTACTTACTTAATGGGTTATCTAAGACATTTCAGTTGCCAATTTCATCTAAATTCTTCATTGAAACGTTAGGGCATAGTGTAATTTATATGTGATTTCATATGATTGCATTCACATTTGACAGTGTTAGTGTT